TTAAAATAAAATAAATGATCAAACCAATCGCAATGTAATGATCAAGTCTGATCTTAAGTTGAACAATGGAATTCGTCCTCGATCGGACTCTCGATACAAACTCGGTCGCGAATAAAGAAGAGAACAAATGAAGAACACTTTGAATAATAGCTAAAAGACAAATATAAACTTTTATTGCTTTGATTTGCGTGTTACAATGTGTCAAAATAAAAGAAACCTTCCTCTTTATATAGTAGGAGAATTTCAATCCTAGTACAAGTCCAAATAAGAAAACAATCTCCTCTTTCCAGTGAATGTCGATCCACAATTGATATTGGACGGGATTCACGTCGTAATATCTGGTTGAGGGCAAATATTATGGCTCCCTACTCGTTATGAATAACCGTTCTCCGCATTTCTCATGATCCAGAAACTTTACTTGGCTTGGGTCCGTTAAATCACCGTGCCCGGTACCAGATGCATTGTTCACTCCTCTCGGATTCCTATAGGAGGGGTCATTCGGCCTCGCTTATAATCGTGTCGAGCCGCGCTTCCCTTTCTTTCCTCATTGGGGAATCGGGGATAATTCTATATAGTCCCACCACTTCTCGGGAGCAGATTTATCAAAGTGATAGGAAGCGATGAATTAACCCTGATTCCTTCTCCCGTACGCCACAATCGAGCTGACGGGTCAGTGAAACGCCCATCAGTCGCGTCGTTCTGACTTTGGACACGTGTCAGTCTTCTGTTGACTATCCCCGAATGCGAAACGTCACACATTGATTACCCATTCTCTATAAAAGTTTTTGTCCCTTTTTTACTTTCCGATTCTAGAGCTCCTTAATTTACCCTCGAACTCTTCAATTATTCTTAGCCCTTCAAAACTTCATATATTGTTTCTTAGATCTTCATATTCCATCTTTAAATCTTCAAATCCGACCTTCATCCTTATCTTCAAATCTTCAAATCTAACCTTCATACCTTCATCCTTATCTTTAAATATTCATCCTCACCTTCAAATCTTCATATTTTCCAGAATTCGATGGCGAAGACTTCGAAATCTGTGCCTCAATAGATTATCCCTTCAACTTCTAACCCAGCCACAGATGTCGAGGTGGTCGTGCCTGAGGTGGCCCCGGAACCTCCTCTGAAGAGATTTATCCTCGGTGTTTGCTCCATTGAGAACGACTTCAAAATCGAGAAAGCCTCCAGTCAACAAGATCGAGGCAAGGGGGTATGGAGGTACATATGCTCCGTACCCCTTCATACTTGCCCCGATGGACCCTAAAATCCTTAGCTTTGCAAAAGGTACGAGGTTTACCTTAGGCATATTGACCCATCCTTTTAGAGGATCGTAATCCTCCTCCACCATTTTGTCAACAACATCGATGCAACTCGATTTACCACCGACCACTTGCTTCGTCTCTACATTCCCCGAGGTTTTTGAAGGGGGTTGGTCAAGCTCGTTTGTCAAGCAAGTAAAGCTCCGTTCTCGAGTATCGATGAAGATCGGGATCGAGGCTGGCAAAGGAGATTTGTTTGGGTAAAAACCGAAGATCTCATATCCCCGAATTTTTGTCGTTCCCCGAGAAGTGGAACTCAGTCCGTAAGTTCCTTTTCTTCCTGAGTACTTGGAATTTCTTTTGTTCTTTTTTCTTATTGCCTACTCCTACCATCGTGCAACAATCGCCCAAGTTCTCAATGCAGTCCCTCGATTCAAGGAGTGTATCGAGGGGATCTGCAAACAAATATTATATTTTGAGCGCGATTGGCGCAAACTTTCAAGGGGCAAGTGTGAGGCATGTTCTCATGGTGAGTGCTCCTCCCGTACAAGTTTTCTTTCATACTCAATCATTATTTCTACTAAGTGTTTTTTCTTTTACAGGTTTTCCCAAGACCACTGAGCTTCGGCCATTGGACGAGGACGCGACTCTCTCCTCACTTGTTAAACCCTCTGCTTCAGGATAGCCTGGAGTTGCTGCACAAGAGGAGAAAAAGAGAAAAAAGAGAAAATCTTCTGGCTCCCCGAACGCTGAGGTCAAGAAGAAGAGGGTAACTATCTGCGTTCGGAAAAGTAACAAGAAGAGTACCCAAGCTAGGGTACCGGACCCCGACTCCCTCTATCGGCTCATGAATTACCCTGAAGACGATGAACTAGAGTTCGTTGCCCATGGGTCGACCATTGACAAAGAAGAACATGCGGCCACGTGGGAAGGTGGTCGAGAGGCTGATCCCTCTTTATCTCGGGAGCCAGAAGGAAAATCAGAAGCTACGGCCTCCGGAGAAACTATAATTGCTCCGAAGGAAATATCCAGTGCCATTCACAACGTGGAGTCGCCGTCTCATACAAAGTCCATGTTTGACCAGGCTCATGCCTACAAGGAGAAGTCAAATTAGACGGCATGGGGCACGGACAAGACCCTCAACATATTCTTTGATGGCGTGGACATGGGCACGTTGGAGGATTATTCCGAGTTTGTCCACCTGGAGATACCGAAAAAGGACCTGTCATCGGGGCACGCGAGCCGAGCTCGAGCTCAAAGCTGGTAAGGCAGTTCCTTGCTCCGAGCGTCAATCCCGACCGTAAAAGAACGGTCGTGTTTACTATCCTGGCGGACATCCGGGTGATGTCTGCTCCGGTGGGCATGGCCAGCTATCTTCATTTCCTTGTGATCAAAGAGGACCATGCAAAGATGAATGAAGTGGGCACATCGAGCCTCTTCAACGAGCCACAACATGCACTGACCCGGGTAAGTTTCCCCTTCCTTGTGCCCTTCGTGCGTCTTATTTGACTTCAGCATGTCCTCATGATCTTATCATTTTGTTTGTCAGGCTTCGGTGCTCCACCATGGAAACTTCCTTCTGTCTTGAATAATAGTTAGCCAGCTCGAATTCGAGCTCAAGGAGCAAATCCAATAGAAGGACATGTACAGGGTTCTCAGCGAGCAAAATGACGAGGCCCTCAAGGACCTCCCTATTCTATGAGCCAAGCTGAAAAAAGCTCAAAATGAGGCTCTGTTCGTGAAGCGGGGGCATTCCGACTTGGTCGAGAAGGTAAGGATTTTTAGGTTAAAAATGAGAGTTTACGCATAGTGACTAACGACGCAACCTAGCAGGTCTAAGAGAAGATAGACCTAATTGACTAGCTCCGGGATGAGATGAATGACCTCAACACTTTGGCCGAGATGCTGAGGAGCAGGATGGACCTTCTAGCCTCAAAAAAGGAGACTACAAAAGAGGAGTTAGAGTTGATCAAGGACCAGCTCCGGGTGGCGAAAGATAAGGCCGACAAGTGGTTATGGCAAAATGGCGAGCTTCGGGCACAACTAGATTCAGCCATCTCAGAATGGGATGACCTCAGCTGAGAATACACTGCGTTGAAGTCCAAGTTAGAGGCAGCCTCGATTGATTCCTCCGAGGTCGAGGAGATACTGGCCCAATACAAGACAAATGTTGAAATAGCTGAGGCCCACTTAATAACAAAGGCCGAGTATGTAAAGCGGTGTCCCGAAGGGAGACCCTTGAAGAGATTCATGCCCGGGGTTTTGATCTGTCGGCCGAGATTGAAGAGGCCAAGAGGCTCGAGCTCGAGGCAAAAGAGCTATACAAGCCCGAAGGTCCCAAAGGTTTCGGTACTGAGTCAAGCTTTGGTGAAGATTAGGCGGAGATGCCTTATCTCCTTTTTGTTTCCTTTTGTATATTTATTTTGTTTATTTTGAGGTCGTTTTATCATTCCTTTGTAAATACATTTTGGAATATATATAAAAGTTTCCCTTCGGAAACACTATGTCTTTTACTTTTCAACATTTGTTTGCAATTTTTTATTTGTGAATCGTCATTAATGCATTAGCATAGAATTGCACGTAATCTAGGGTACCCGTTCTCGGAAAGCCCGAATGAGGTTCGATTTTGATGATAACTCCAAGTCGTTCGTGGCTTCGAAATTTTGATAAAAATATAGGCCTTTAAGATACTTGAGTGTTTTAACCAAACACGACGGTGTTTTGCCGAGGGTAACCCTTTAATAGGTATTAGTAATACGTAAGGGCCTTACTTTTTGAGTACGGACTTGGACGTCTCCGAGCCGTTTTAGGTTGGTCGTAGCCTTTCATGTTTGGGCCCTACCTAATAGGTTCGGTGCCTCCGGTATTCGATAGCCCGGGCCATCCGATTTTTTTATCGGACGACAATCCCCGAGTCGGGGTAGCCTGTGGGCTCTAGGATTTTGGATCCATTTTTTGTTTTAAGTAATTCAACGAATGCATCGATGGTGCAAAATGCGTAGTGATAAAATATAAAGGTTAAATTTCTTTCATTGCTTTGTATGTAGAGTACACAATCGGAGGCGTGTAAGCCTTATGCCATGGCAAGAGTGGGCTACATAGGTACAGTTCATTTGACGGTTTGACCCTTACAACGAATCCTAATTACCAAGACTTGGCTTTTCATATTAAGTAATAACACTTTCTAAGGATCCTAACTTAGGGGGTAATGGCCCCCAGTATTTGAGGTCAAATTTGTGAGGGCTCAAATACTGTTGATCCGGTGTAGGTGATAAGCAACTCTGGGTTTAGGCTGACCTTCGAAACTAAAGTAGCACGTTTTAATGTTGCCTCATTAAAAACCTTATCGTAAAACCCACTACGGGAAAAACCGGTTCAAGGAAAAAGAGTACAACACGTGCTTTCAGACCTAATAGTCATATCTGCCCACAGCCGAGTGCCTGCACAAGTTAGTCTGTAATATAACAAATTTAAAAAGGGAATTGTGCTCGTACCTTAGCAGTAGTACCATTTTAAGTGTGCCACTTTCTAGTTGTTCGGTAGTTGTACACTGTTTCCCAACTCGAGTTTATATGAGCCTTTACCGGTTATTCCGGAAACTATATATGGTCCTTCCCAATTTGGGCCTAGTTTCCCGTCGTTTGGGTTCCTGGTATGTAGAGTTACTTTCCTTAACACCAAGTCGCCGACTTGTAAATGTCGAAGGTTAGCTCTTCGGTTGTAGCACCTTCCTACTCGCTATTTTTGGGTGGCCAACTGGACCAGGGCGGCTTCCCGCCTTTCGTCTAATAAGTCCAAACTCGTAGTCATGGCCTCGTTGTTTGACATTTCGGTAGCATATTGGAACCCGAGGCTCGATTCTTCCACCTCGTCAAAGGCTTCCGCACCGTAGACTTGAGAGAACGGGGTCGCTCCGGTACTTGGTTTCGAAGTCATATGGTATGCCCACAAGACTTCGGGGAAGATTTCCTTCCACTTTCCTTTCGAATCGGTCAGTCTCTTTTTCAAGTTTTAGAGTATAGTTTTGTTTGTCGATTCCGCTTATCCGTTCCCACTATGGTGGTAAGGTGTTGATAATATCTTTTTGATTTTGTGGTCTTCGAACAACTTACTTACCTTACTACCGACGAATTATTTTCTGTTGTCGCAAACGATCTCAGCCGGTATCTCAAATCGATATATTATGTGATCCCAGACGAAGTCGACGACCTCTTTCTCCCGGGCCTTCTCGAATGCTTGAGCCTCGACCCACTTGAAAAAATAATCGGTCATGAGTAGTATGCATTGGGCTTTACTGGGAGCCTATGCCAGGGGACCGACGATGCCGATCCCCCATTTCATAAATGACAATGGCGACAGGACCGTGTGAAGCATCTCTCCCAGTTTATGAATCATTTGGGCATGTCTTTGATACTCGTTGCATTTCCGTACGAAGTCTTTTGCATCTTTCTCCATTTCGTTCCATTAGTAACCGCCTTTGATTAACTTCCGAACCAGGGATTCTGCCCCTGAGTGGTTCCCGCAAGTGCCCTCGTGGACCTCTCTCATAGTGTATTCAGTCTCTCCCGGACCCATGCACCTAGCTAGTGGGCCGAAGTAGGATCTTCTGAACAGTTTCCCTCAACTAAGTTGAACCTGGCAGCTTTGGTGCGCAAGGTTTTTTATTCCTTGGGATTCGACGGCAATTTTCCTGTCTTCAAGTAGTCTATGTATTTGTTTCTCCAATCCCAAGTCAAACTTGTCGAGTTTACCTTAGCGTTACCTTCTTCTACTACCGAGTTCATCAGTTGTACCACTTCCCCCGAGTCGAATTCATCGGAGTCGACAGACGACCCCAAGTTGGCTAGTGCATTGGCCTCACTATTCTGATCTCGAGGTACGTGCTGTAGAGTCCATTCATTGAATTGGTGAAAGGTCACCTGCAACTTATCCAAGTACCTCCGCATATGTTCCTACTTTACTTCGAATGTTCCATTGGCCTGATTTACGATAAGGAGAGAGTCGCATTTGGCCTCGATTACTCCGTCCCCTAGGCTCCTAGCCAGTTCTAGACCTGCAATCATAGCTTCATACTCGGCTTCATTGTTAGTCAGTTTTATAGTTCTAATGGACTGTCTAACTACGTTACCCGCAGGTGGTTTTAATATGATACCGAGCTCAGACCCCTTCGCGTTAGAGGCACCGCCCGTGAATAAGGTCCAGCTCCCTGAGGTAGTCCCCGAAGTGAGTAGTAATTCCCTCTCGACCTCGGGTATCAAGGCCATCGTAAAGTCGGCCACAATGTCCGCCAAAATCTGAGATTATATGGCAGTCCGGGGTTTGTATCCGATATTGTACCCGCTAATTTCTTCGGCCCATTTGGCCAGCTGACCTAAAATCTCGGGCTTATGCATGACATTCCTCAGCGGGTAAGAGGTCACGACACATATGGGGTGGCATTAAAAGTACGATTTTAATTTCCTATAAGCGCTTAGTAAGGCGATGATTTTTCTAAGTGAGGATATCTTATTTCGGCATTGCTTAGGGTTCTACTAATATAATAAATAGAAAATTGTGTACCTTCTTCTTACCGGACCAGGGCACCACTAATTATCACCTCGAAAACCACCAAGTAAAGGTACAACTGTTCATCTGCCTTCGGAGTGTGCAGCAAGGGGGGCTCGATAGGTATCGCTTGAGTTCTTCCAAAGCTTGTTAGCATTCCGGATCCAAGAGAAGTTCTTCTTTTTCAATAGTGAGAAGAATCGATGACTCTTATCCGACAATCTCGAGATGAACCGACTACGGTGATGTCCTCTATGGCCTTGATTTTGTCCGGGGTGATCCCATATCATTTCTCTCTTGGACAGGGTTTCCCCAAATTTTTACAGCAATACCGACTCGATTTTGTCGTCTTCCAAATTATTCCCTTTGATTGCGCATGTATAGGAGGTTACATGCTCATTCGGATCTGTAGTCCCATTATTCTTGGGGATGTAGGACATTCGAAACCTCTTCGAGATTGGCTTCGGTGCCGTGCTCGGGGGGAAAGGCTTCAAAATAAACTTTTTGGAGTCCGACCCCTTAAATATCGGAGGTGCTCCGGGGATCTGATCGACCCTGAAGTTATACGTTTCTACCTTCTTGTCATTGGCCTCAATCTTTTTCTCACCAGACTCCACCTGTTTTGTCAATGCTTCGAGCATCTTAATCACCTTAGAAGGTTCCCCAGGCCTAAATTCGCTCGGTTCCATGGCAACTTGTTCATCCCTCCGAGTGTTTTCCCGTACTGCTCGGGCTCGACCTTGTTAGGGGCATAGCTCTAGTTCTGTAACTGCGCTATCGCCGCTTGCTGAGCCAGCAATATTTTTAAAATCAAGCGCAGGCTCACTCCATCACCTTTGCCTTCGGCGCCTCTCGAGCCGCTGACTGGGGTCCCCCGTATACGCTATTTTCAGGATCAGTCGATAGATTGATGTTGATGGCCACCTGTGAGTTAGCATCGACCGGGTCAGCAGCTGAGACACCATTAGGATCGACACGGGGCACATCATTGCTAGGCATCACGTTATTATTCTTACCATGATGCCCTGACTTAGTGTCAACCTTCAAGTGAGCAGACTGAGAATTTGACATCCTTGGGCTAACCTGGAATTAAAACTTCAAAGAACAAGCGTAAAATAAGGTGTGTTATGGAGATCTGTATCAAATCACCACTATTATCATTAGCCCCACGGTGGACGCCAAACTGTTTGCTCTAAAAAATGAGTAACAATTAAATTTGTACGAGGTTTAAAGGATAAGTGATTTAATTGAATACGAATGATTAAGAACAACATGTAAATAAGTTAAAGATAAAATAAATGATCAAACTAATCGCAATGTGATGATCAAGCCCGATCTTAGATTGAACAGTAGAATTCGTCCTCGATCGTACCCTCGATATAAGCTCGATCGCGAATAACGAAGAGAACAAATGAAGAGTACTTTGAACAATAGCTAGAAGACAAATATAAACTTTTATTGCTTTGATTTGCGTGTTACAATGTGTCAAAATAAAAAAAACCTTCTTTGTTATATAGTAAGGGAATTTTAGTCCTAGTACAAGTCTAATAAGATAAAAATCTCCTCTTTTCGGTAAATATCGATCCGCAATTGATGGACAAGATTCACGCCGTAATATTCGATTGAGGGCGAATATTATGGCTTTCTACTCGTCATGCATAACTGTTCTCTGTATTTCTCGTGGTCTAGAAACCTTACTTGGTCTGGGTCCGTTATTTCACCGTACCCGATCCCAGATGCATCGTTCACTCCTCCCGGGTTCTAATACGAGGGGTCCTTCGGCCTCGCTTGTAGTTGTGTCGAGCCGCACTTCCCTTTCGTTTCCTCATCTGGGAATCGGGGAAAAGTGAAAACTCTGCCCCCGTTTTTACCCGTACACAAAAATGATTAATCACAATTTTGCTATAATATAAAGAAATTAAAGTTTAAATTTTATGATTATAATTTCACACCAAAAAACTCTGCCTTTTTTTGTCTTCCGCTATTCACGACAAGGTTGAAGAAAGAACTAATGAATATAGTCGCTTTCAAAATAAAAACTGACACAATATA